ACTGCCCTTCTGTATGGCTACTACCGAAGCTGTTCTCCAGTCGGACGATAAGTTCCCTTCAGCTAGTGATGCTCCAAAAAGGCTGCAAATTGTCCCAGCGATTATATCAGCAATCGGCTTGATGATCGCTGGGCTAATTCCGTCTGGTCCCAGAGCCTTTGATACCTAAGGCCGCCTAGTACGTCAGATGCTTGTTCGAGTGTTACCCTTAGTTCCTCCACTACATCTGTTTTTGAGGGTTGGGGAGCACTTGATTCATCAGTGTCCAGTCTTTGCATGCTGCTGAAGTAAGCGCAGAATGCATCAGCTTTACTCTGGTTTTCAGTTATGAACCTATCTCCCTTAAGTACCAGTGGGCTCATCTCTTCTCTGGTGGAGCCCTTTGACTGGACTTGCCCGTAATACTTCTTTGGCTCCAGTTTCACTTTCTGGGTGAGCTTCATTTCGAATAACCTCTTTTTCTCTCTCTCAATAGGTGAACCACTGCATTCCTGTGGGCTGTGTAATTCACCCACGACCTATGGGTGCCAGCTAGTTGATAGGCTCTCCAGCTTCGGTTTCGGTACTTAATGGCCTTAGCTACTGCAGCACGCCACCACGGAGGTTTTCCTTTGTGCCGCCTATATCTTAGTGGGGCAAAGAGATCCTGGAGAGTGAGGAGGTTTTGCTTGATTACCAACCAGCATTCCTCGACATCTGTAGTGTTTTGATCCACTGCACGAATGCAGTGTATTCCCGAAGCCTACTGATGTTCTTTCCACCAAAATCCCTGTACATTCGTAATCTACGTACTGGTGGTTTCATCCGGCTATCGACTTCGATGAGGAGGTGATCACTCTTCCCTATTGGTGGATATCCAGTGACAGCGATTACATCATGTTCCCTTTTGGAAAATACAAGATCCAGTAGGGATGGTTCCTGCTGGGCTCTCAATCGCGTGCAGAATGAAAAGTGCTGAAAAGTTGCCCTGGAGTTTATCCACTCTAAATACCTTTCCTCCTGACTATCATGGGTGCACCTACCTGCCATTCAATGTATATCAGGTAAACTAAAGTCAACAAGAACGTATAACTTTGCTGATCCCTGAACTAAGACATCTGGTGCGTCAAGCAGTGCCCGGTCATCTGTGATCACTGTCAGGAAGGTTCAATTCCAAAAAAATTCCGTTGGAAACTTCATTTGTTTGGCGATAATAGCCAAGAAGAAAAAGGCACAGCCGGGCGAGTCTCCCGCCCGCAAATGATCGATCGCTGTATTCAGCCGGACGGTCAGACAGCGTAGTCGGCCGGGCGGTCCGACGATTCTGATTGGTCAATTTATGCCAAACGTTTGGAACGCACCGAACGGAATAAAAAGAACGAATGCCAACGCTTAAACGACAAGCTAAAGAAGACACCTTTTTTCTAATATGCTGTCCTGTGCCATTTCGATTGTGTTCTCTTTTTCGGCTCAGAAGTTGATGGTGCGATAGCAGTCTCAGCAACAGTCACTACACAACAGTCACCTCCCAGGGACACCGGTAAATGCACGCCATCGTAATCTTATTGGCCGGCAACAGAAGGGTTACGGCACATAGTTAAACACTGTGCAGGTTCACTGAAACTTCGCAAGCCATGTGCACAATGTCCTTTCTTATGAGGAAGACTCCTCCCCCTCCTCCTGGTGTTGGAGGCCGATTCTGCCTATGGATGGCGAAGCTGTCTAACACTAAACCTGGTGCCCTATCGTGGTCTTTAAGCCATGTTTCCGTTACAGCTATTACAGCTGCATTTTGATCACATGCTGCTGCAAAGAGTTCCATCTACTTATTTCTAATACTGCAAGTGTTGGTTACAAGCAACCGACAGCTCGCTGTGAATGGAATATGGTGCCCATTATTCACTCTATCTTGGGTCTCGGGCGCAGCACCCGAGTGGGTAGCACGTTTTTTGACGACTTGCTACCTTCATCCTCCTTACATGCCCATAGAGACGATTTCAGGTCTATAGGGGTTTTTATGGAGGTCGACGTTCTCTGCTGCTACCCCGGATGTATGGATGACAGTGATTTCGGCTGTCTCTGAGACCAGACAGCTCTGCCACTTCTCGTCCTCCATGACATCCTCGATCACCACTATTGGTGAAACCTTATTTCCACCGGTCATCAAGAATCGGTTTC